GTGGGCACTATACGGGTGCGGCAGTGCGGCCATCGCGCTATTCTTTGAGGAAGAACGGCTAGCGGCCGCCACACGGGGCGTGGGACCACAAGCCGTCCTACAGGCCAGCGCCGCAATCTCGGCACATTATACACTGGTGGGCCTGTCATCTGCCTGTGAGGCACCCCTCTGCCAGCTCGCGCGCCAGGTGGCCACACGCACACTCACAGCACACCGCCACGACCGTGGGGTTATTACTGAGGTGGATATCAGGCAACTGGTCGACTTCCATTTTCCCCTTAACGGCCCGGAACCTGACTTGCAGACCCGCATGCATGTCACGTGCGCACTGTTGTGCTGGTTTGCATTCCTGCGGTTCGATGACCTCGCCCGGGTACTAGTACATTACGACCTGCTACACATCACACCGGGCGTGGGTGCCGAGATCATCCTGTGGAAAAGCAAGACGGACCAACGTGGCGAAGGACAGACCGCGTCTGTCGGTTTTCGGGGCGACCACTACTGCCCCATGACGCGGCTGGAGGAACTGCTGACGAAAGGGCAATACGTCCGACTGCCGAAACAAGAGGCGGTCGAGGGGCGTTATGTTTCGGTTGAAGATGTAGGCCCACTCCTCCGCCGGGTCACAACCAGCCAGACGGGTGTGCCGAGCTTGGTGCAGCGCACGGCACCGCTCAGTGCACCCATCCCACCGCTGCCATACCGCACTTTCCTGGGCCACCTGAGGAGGCTCTTTGTGGAGGCCGGGCTCTCACCGCGTTTCGGAACTCACTCCTTGCGCTCCGGGGGGGTGACTGCTGCCGTTAACAATGGCGCAGACCGCAGCCTGGTGCAGAAACTGGGCCGCTGGAAGAGTGCGGACGTTTTCGAACAGCATTATGTGAAAGATAGCGACGCAGCTCGGGGCCGGGTGACGGCCCTCTCGATTAATACCGCCCAGTGATCGTTGCAACTGTGGGTCCTTTCAAGACCTGTCATTACTATCGGCCACTAGTGCAACTTTCACAATGGGTTGGTGTTGGGAGGGGGTTTCACAACGGGTTGTTTTGCTACTGAGTTGTGCTTGCGGTTGATGGCTTAGCTACTGTAACGCAACACGGCAGGACTGAGCAATAAGCTTCGACTTCTCGAAGCGAAGTATGAGTGTAGAGATAGGCAAGTTATTGCGAAGGAACTGCCGTGGTGCGTGGAAGTAGGGCGCAAGCATGCATGCATATGCCGGACCCAGTACGGCAGGGGATGCCGAGCTCCTTACTTGGGTCCCACAGGCGCATTGGTTCTTTAACTGCCGTTGTTTTGACTATTACCAAGAGGTGTGTCCCGCTGCTGGGACAGTGTCCTCTAGTTTCCCCCCACCCACCCACGGGTCGCTATCGTACTAATTGTCCTTTTATGGGTTTAAGCTTGGAATAACCGTATCGGTGCGTTTTCTCGTCTTTTTTCTGTGCCTCGTCGTCCCCCCCACCCACCCAGGGCAACCCCGGGGGTTGCCACAATGCAGCGGTCCCTGGTTTGTCCATGCTGGTTTCGGGTGGGTCGCCCGCGTGGCTCTTGTCGGGGCGCTTGAGGTTGCAGATTCGTTAACGGTGCAACACAGGTAACTGTCATTACTATCGGCCACTAGTACAACTTTCACAATGGGTTGGTGTTGGGAGGGGGTTTCACAACGGGTTGTTTTGCTACTGAGTTGTGCTTGCGGTTGACGGCTTAGCTACTGTAACGCAACACGGCAGGACTGAGCAATAAGGCCACTTAGCATGCAAAAGCCTTGTAATATCGCCATGCCAGGGATTGTTTTAATTACTTATGACTGTACAAATACTCCAAACGTAAGGTTTCGTTCAGTCTGTGCTTGTCCCAGAATGAAGGGCTGTACGGCCCTTCAGAACATACAAATGCACACAGCATCTGTTCGCAAGTCCAGCTTTCTGTTGAAGATGTAATAATAGCTAATAAAGATGGCCCCTCCAGTTAAAACATATCCACGTTACCTCTGCCGCGGTCGACTGTATGCGTTGTCGAAATTTGAAATTACGTGTGTGTCCTGCGGACGCAAGTATCATAGCAAGTCTCATGCATATAATCACGTCATCACGCATCAGTGCGTCCAGCCTCATGGTGGTAATAATGGCACAGAGCTTTTTGGCCTCGATGCCGTGGCTCCTAACGAGATGATCGCTGGACGCAGTGAGAAATTGCTGCAATACATTGCCAGCTACTATGTATGGTTAAAATTTGCGACGTCCAATATGATGCAGATGAATCTCCTCAGCAACAAGCTCCCGTTGCGGCGGGCCCTTCGGTGGTTGGTGCGGGAGCACAGGCGCAAGCTAACAAACCGGACCAAACAGGTACAACAAACGAAACTAGCACACACGTCACATGTAGGACATGAGTGATTTGAAACGAGGTCCCCCCTGTCAGTGCAGGCACCCCGTCTCCGGTGGAGGTGGACATGGAGTGGAGTCCACCGAAGGGCCAGGCAGAAATGCAGTGGAGCCCCGACAATTTAACAGGTGAGACCGTAGTCCATAAGGTAAGAGGACGGAAATGGCAGCAGTGGTGACGGCAGGGGAGGTGAAGGGGATGGGTTGAAGGGGGTGGTGGTGATGGTGGCTCAGGTGACGGCGACTCAGGCGACATCAGGGGCAACGGCGGCACAGCTGTGCAGGTGAGAACGGATGGGAATGCAGGGGAGAGAGAGGGTAGTGGGGGTGATTGCCGCCATGGAGATGGGGGGGCGGGGATTGCCGCAGTGAAGAGGACGGAGGTGGAAATGGCGGCCGTGGTGGCGGCAGGGGAGGTGAAGGGGATGGGGTGAAGGGGGTGGTGGCGGGGTGGTGGTGATGGCAGCTCGGGTGACGGCGACTCAGGCGACATCACGGGCAACCGCGTCACATGCGACTGCGGGGATGATGATGAACCCTTCATGGTGTCATGGTCGTATGCCCTGCTATTCCCAGGTGACGGATCACCTGGACACATTGGGGCGGATGGAGAGGTGGAGATCCGTATTGTTGCCACTGAAAAAGGAACGGTTGGCGACAGAGGTGCAGGTGAGAACGGATGGGAATGAAGGGGAGAGAGGTCACGGAGATGGGGGGGCGGGGATTGCCGCAGTGAAGAGAACGGAGGTGGAAATGGCGGCCGTGGTGACGGCAGGGGAGGTGAAGGGGATGGGGTGAACGGGGTGGTGGTGATGGCAGCTCGGGTGACGGCGACTCAGGCGACGTCAGGCGCAACGGTGGCACATCTGTGCCGCCGTTGCCCCTGACGTCGCTGCTGGGACGGGCGACGGGCACGGGGGAAGGGACGGGCGACGGCAGGGAAGGCGACGGTGGGGAGGGCGATGGCAGGGATGGCGACAGCATGGATGGCGACAGCGGGGATGGCGACAGTGGCAATGGTTACGGTTGCAATGGCAAGGGATAAACGTAATGGCGGGGAAACTTCATCCAGAATGAAGTATGTGGAACCCTTCATGGTGTCGTGGTCGTATGCCCTGCTATTCCCAGGTGACGGAT